TTGAAAGGTTGAAAGGCTAGATGACCAGCATTATATATATATATATATATATATGTATATATATGTGTGTGTGTGTGTGTGTGTGTGTGTGTGTATGTACAGAATATAAAGGCAATAGTGTCCACAGCTCCAACAAATTTGATTTAATTTTAAGCTTCAACTAGCAGCCGGTCTTCATCTGCCTCTCAAATAACTAAATTGGTTTTTGCAACTGTCAGGTTGCTAATTAAAGTTGACTTTGGTACACACGTTTAAGCTGGAGGGTGTGATTGCTTTTTAAAAACTGTCCAATTGGTGTCAGGCGTAGAAGGACAAGAGCAACTAAAATATAACCGCTTAAGTACTTTTAACGGTTGATAGCTTGTGAAGTGTGTAGCTCATCCCCACTTGCAAAGTGCTGCTTGTCTGGGTAAGTTGATTGCTTAATTCATGCTAACAACCATTGGATTCCCATTCTGTCCGCCTACAGACTTAGAACATCACAAACTTCATATTCAGGTTGGTCGGAAACAGTTGGTTCACCTTTATGACGTTTGCATTGGATTTCCTGGATTACAGCGCATGGAATCCTTGTGGGGAAAGAGCAGGTGTAAGCATCATTTTGAAAAGTGTAGATTAACAAAGGTCTCAATGCTAGAACGATTCCCATATGAGCAGCATAAAGGGTAAATCAACGTTTTACTCCATTTTCCTAGCACAGATACAGCTCTGCTTTGCGTCCTGGGATATTTCCAGTGTGAAGCATGATGTAAAGCCCAGTTGGCCTCTTTAAAAACATTTGCTGGGCTTATTCTTAAAATTAAATATGTATTCCACTGGAGATCACAGGTCTATTTGCCTCTGACCTTCAGTGGCTTCTGCTCTGTGCAATTTTGGCACTGATAGTGGCCTTTAATTAGACCCCAATAGGCAACTGAGCCCTGATAAATCTGTTCTGCTCCCAAGTTTGTTATTATCAGGCTCCTGGGAGCTAGGCCCTGGCAGTGTAAACACTGGGAGAAGATCTTTAAAAGTGGTCAAAGAGGAAGAGAGAGTGAATTGAAGCCAGGGTGGGGGTTTATAGGTGAGAAGAGGTTCTGCATTTGCGGGCTTCGCGATTATGAGAAAAGAGACAGAAAGCGGCACTTAACGGCACATCAGCTGCAGTTTAACAGTCACGGCCGGGAGCTGAGGGCCAACCCAATCCGAGGCGAGCCAGCCCCATCTAGCTCTTTATGCGGATCAATGGCGGGCCAGACCTCAGAGGGCCATGAAGAATTTCAATGAAGTTCTGCGCTCTCTCCGTCTCTCTTTTTTTATGGCATGTAATTTTTTTTCCGAGTTGCCGAGAGCCCGTGCTTAAGACAAAAGAGCTCTTTAAAAGCAAACTTTGGGTACAAGGGCGGAGGTGCACTGCTTTGACATGAATGACACTTTAGAGAATAAAACTCTGCACAGCTGCTCCTTTTATCAGTCTTGCCTGCATCAACAAGTAACACTGCATCCAATAAAGAAAATTGACACATCGATGACTACGTACTCTAAGCCAGCAGCTGCACACATTAAAAAAAGAAGAGGCAAGTACAACATTAACGCAACATTTCAATATCAGCCTACTCTGCTATTCATGGAAGAGGCTTGTCACATTCAGTGCAGTTTCAGTTCGGGAGAACATTGACTCAGCTGAGAAATCGCAAACAATATGTTTAATAAATCAGCAGACAAAAGAGGCTGATTCATATCAGTCTCCACATTCTTTGCGGAGCTCCTTTTGCTCCTGGTTCTAATTAAAGACATAAGCTCAAGGCTGTCACAAACACACAAATAAAAGTCATGAATATGCATTGTGTGCATTGCTGGTGTAAACGTGAATACGCAAACAGAACCAAAGAGGGAGATGGCACAAGCATGCTTGGACATAAAGAGCCAAGAAGCATGCTGATTCCAATTCTGACGCATTGTTTTAATTACACTCTTAGCACATCAGTAATCCAAACAGTAGCTTTCGGATTTGTGCTGCTCAGTTCAAAGCCAACATTTTGTGGGAGAACAAAAAGGAAAAATCTACAGGAAGCTCCATAGTCACAGAGCAATGTCAAATGTCCATTTCTACTAGGATTTCCACAGCATCAACATTTTCAGTAGGTGATATCAATGCCAGGAAGTTTCATTTTTCTCAATACCAGTTTTGATGCAACAAAAAGTATTAGTAAAGAACTAGCAAATATATATATATTTTTTAAGTTACTACTAATAATTAAAGCTAAAGAACAATATTAAAAGATTAGTTATGAGTGCAGAATTAAAATAAAATAATACAATTAAATTAAACAAAATTAAATTAAATTAAATTCTTAAATTGGCAGAGACTCTACTAAAACTTAGAAGAGCTGGGGGGTATTTTGTAAAGCAGGTTATGTGAAATACCCGGGTATGTTTAAGAGTAAGTAAGCAGATAAACGGAGGTAACGTCCAGGGTATGTAAGTAGCCATAGCAACCTGCCATAGAAACCTGCTCAGGAGCAAGTTCTGTTCCAGGGTTACTTTACTGCAGAGCTATCAGCGCGCGTGTGACCTACTGACGAGACTCCAGTGGGTGTGGATAAAGTGATATATTGCAATATTTATTATATATACACTATTATAACAAAGTATTATTTATTTTAATTTATTCTAATATATTTATTATATTATATTTTATTGTCACCTCACACATTATTTGCGTCTGTTTCCTTGGTGACTTGTTGATTTGTCACTCTGTTAAACATACTCTGAGTTGTCTGAACTTACTCTGGGACGTGTTTTGGAACTAGCATACTGTACAAATTAAGCAAGGTATGGGTTAATCAACTGAGAGTTATGGGCAAATGTGACCATTAGTTAAACTTGCTTTCTGGAATTCCCCCTCTAGTATCATTAAATCTTTTTTTTTTCATTGTATTGTATTGATTTGCCGTGACTTGGAACTCAAGTACCATACTTTATTATCCCTGCTTTCTACAAAATGTATCCTAACCTTGGCACCCTGAATCTTAAGAATCAAACCAAATGGGAGAAAATTAATGCTGTGTATGTAATTAACACATTTTCTCTCAATCATTTCCTCTGCTTGAGCCGTCAGGCAGATACACTCGCTCATTCCCGAGACTATTAATCACTGCGTCACGTCTCCATTCACGGCCCTTTCCCCCTTCCATCGATCCGACATAAAGACTAATCCTTTCCTGTCCTGATGGATTCATTAACTCTAATGGGGCTATTTTATATTGTTTGCTTTGCTTGACGTGGGTTGTCTTAGGGATTAATTGTGATCAATGACAGCATTATTCTTCTCTCTGACATCCTCTGCTGTGCATTTCTTGGGTGAAGCATGCATGATTTATACAATGATAGATTAATCTAAGAGATATCCAGAGGAGTGATGAAATGTGCATCATAGCGAACATCAATGATAGGCACAATATTTGGCTTTATAAGGCAGTGCATTTGTATTCAAGGGTCCGGCTCAGATAATGATACAGGTGGGTGGATGTAATCTCTAGATCACAGTCAATCATTGTTTGTTATTTGACTGGTGTCGACTTGCACAAAGACTAGCTAGGATTGCTCCTTCATTTTATTACAGATCACTGCAGGAAGTAAATTCCCACTGATTTCAAACTCAAGCACTCAAAGTCTAAATGTGCTTTATTATTTTTTTTTGTGAGGGTTTGTGTGTGTGTGTGTGTGTGCGTGCATGTAACTTGTAACTTCCCTGTGGATAGAAGTGACTCACTCAGCAAGTATTAGTATTAGTATTAGTATTTTGTGTATATTTATATGTGTCAAAGTAGTGCATTTCTGCAGAATCTGTGACTTGTGGTTCCATTAGCAAGTCAATGCCAAGGCATATTGAAGTAGTTAATTTTGCAAATTACTGTGAATTAATAGAGCTTGATAAATCAGTAATGTCTTTAATAGCCAGTGCATATATTCTGCATCCATCTGAGGAATAAGACCTAGACATTAAGTGGCAATAGATGCCGCCTGCAACAAACCCATCAATCTCTCATCAAGAATAAACACAATATCGAACCAAGCCAATGGCCATTAAAATTACTCAGTTTGCTTCCCTTGCTTTAACTTGCCACCACCATAAACAGCACTTGATTTGGCTATGTTCACATTACAGTCCTCGAATTGTAACCTGACAGTTGCCACAGTTAATTGTATTGCTCAAAGTTTGCTCAATTGGAAGACATAATGGAGTATTAATTAATGCTTCATGTGAGTTTCAACTGCAGATTTTTCAGACTGCCACAAATTACATAACTGCAACATACAGTACAGTATGAATACTGACTTGGAGAATACAATTAACGTGGATAGCACAACTCAGATATTTATATTTGAATTAACACTTGAGTTCATATAGAAACTCTGATTACAGACTTTGAAATCACAGTTTGAGATCTTCTGCAACTCTCAAATAAACATATGAGATTATTTTGAATCACTTATAAAAAGCATGAGACGTACTGTAAGTGAAAATCGCTCCATTTAATCTTTCTGCCATCTAGAATAAACAAGTGAGATATTAAAGGGTTGATTTGTGATTTTTCTTTTATATTTGTTTACTCTCGAGCTGCTCAGATACAGAACGAGGAGCAAAAATTCTACATTCTCAAGCAGAAAAAAGTAAGGTCAAATATAAGTAAATAATTGGCCGATGTCAACATAAGCTATTCCTTTTACATAACAGCCTTTCTTCTTAATTGATTAATTATCGGCATATTCTTTGAAAGACCTTCAAAACAACTTTCCAAAGTAGTCCACTTAATGATGTGGGCACAGTCTGTTTTGATGGCTTATTAAATGTTTGTTTTTTGGATTATTCTGCCTCTTTTCTGTCTCCCACTCACTTAGAGAAATTAAAAGCTGTATGTGGGCAGATAAAACACATTGCACCATAATCGTCTGCTGCTCTCTCCTCAATAGGGAAAATGAGAGACACTTCATGGTCTATTAAAAGTGAATGGGATCCAATGAGGCAACAGGCAATAATTGGCATTTTCTGGCACAGTGATTTCAACAGCCAGGCTCAAGGACTTCAAAGCCATTAGTCCAGTCCAGTCTATTTTTTCACTCCTTTCTACAGCAATATGTTAAACATCCCTCTTTCAAGCCTCATTTCTGTAGATTACAGTGATGGCTGTGGTAATAGCCCGTGGTAGAGCTCAGAAATAGGTTGGTCTTCGTACCACACAGTACTCGAAGAGATCTAGGTGATATTAGGACACCCTTTCAATTTGACAACGGGTGATACATCTCTAAACAAGTGGAGTCGGTTATATAAACCCAATCAACCACAAAATCACATGCTGTTTTAAACCTTTCAGTTTGAAAAGCAGATATGCTTTTCGAAGCCAACAACACTTTAAATAGAAAACAGACTTGTTCGCGTCGAGTGCCCCGAGAGCACGAGGGTGCATGACGATTATGTCACAGAGAATTCTCTGGAGCGAACATGAATCATATCGATGGATGCTGTAAAAATAAATATGCTGCCACAGGTCATTCACTGGGAAAGATTTAAATGGCTGCTCCGTGGAGACTGGAAGCAGGAACTGGAAGCGAAAACACGTTTGAAGGTGTAAATTTAGCCACATAAAAAGCAATATTGAAATCAATCGAGGGATAAACGCACAGCACTTGGTTCTGTAGAGAAATCCACTGAGATCAGCTTCTGACGCCATTAAGTCCGTATCGCCCATCAAGCATCAGTTACCGTCTTGACTTGGAAAGAGAAACTGCACTAACAGCACTTTTTAGGGGTCTCACAGTAAATAGCAAATCTCTCATAATTAGGAGTATTTTGCCTCCTGAGATCCGTTAAAGACATTCATTCGGAGAGGTTAGGGGAGGTATCTCCTCCCATACTGTACATTTTCTGTGGTGACAAACCAAGCTTCTGCATTCTCTCCATATGCAAATTCCCGGCAAATAGCCTGATGATGTGTTTTAAAGGCCCTCGGATTTGCTTGCTATTGTAAAACAGTCAGTTTTTCCTGAAATACATCCCACTGAGTGTATTATTAAACCGCAAATCACCATTCCTCTGCATCGGTGCAACACATCTCAATCTTCTTGGCTCTGTGTGCTGCTTACTAAGGGCTACACCTAGAGCAGCGCTCCTGAGGACCAGCTGAACATATTATAGCAAAACCAGCAGACTGCCTCACCTCAATCAACCGTCTCACCTCAGTCATCAGTAAGTCTCACTCCAACCGGCAGAAAGTCTCACCACAACTAGCAGAAAGTCGTACTCCAACCATTAGAAATCCTCACATATCTGCTCATCTTTCGTTTATTTTAGAATGGTCATAGATGTGTTTTTGAACCGATTCTTGTCTCACATTGTTTTTTTGTTTTTTTGAATTTATTATTATTATTATTGTCCCGAGAGACACAAGTCGTCAGTCTTTTCACTTTGCAGTAGAAAAAAGCCTTTGGACTGGACTTATATACGGAGGACATAAAAAGTGGGTAAAAAGAAATCGGTATTTTCATTGTTTTTCAATCATCCATGAAAGCGAATGAAATCTTCTACTTCATTATCCCTTCTAGAGATCTCATATACAAATAATATACAATAAATTCAACTGATGTCCTTTGATATCGCAGCTGTTGCTAACAAACAGCCAGCATTGCATCAGCCGCCAACACTAACTCCCTGTGGCATTCGAGGATTACCTTACACTGTCATGAAGCGACTAAAAAGCCACTTTAATTCAGGTGCTAAGTTAATACTGCTCTGAAACTGACAAGGTACAATTTCACTGGATTTTATCTACCCAGAAGCGTTTAAAAAAAAAACATATTTTTAAAGCAGTCACTGATGGTCTCGGGGCATTAACCAGTCAACTTCCCTGTTTTCTAGGTTACCCTCGCTACGCTGTGATTGGGGATCACGGATCTGGTGAGCACCACCTTCGCATCCAGAGGGTGGAGCTGACGGATGATGCCATGTTCGAGTGCCAGGCCATCCAGGCCGCCATGAGGTCCCGTCCTGCTCGACTCACTGTGTTAGGTTAGTCTCAATCGTAGGTGGTATACGTGAAGACCAACAAAGTAGTCCTGCCGATAGCATTTGCATGCATATGCCATTCAGCAAAAGCTTATTTGCATTCTCAAAAGTCCCTTTTTAAAGAGAAACAGAAAAAAAAATGTATTTAATTTCTAATTATCTTCCAAATAGCATCCACAAATTAAATCAGAATAAAGACTGATTGCAATGATCTCAAACTATGAGATCAGCGAAGAATAATGTACAGTATTAAAAATAGATTTTTCACTGACCGAACTCCCCTGCAGTGCCATAAGTTCTCAGTTTTAATTTCCTGCTGCAAATCCCACTGTCTTCATTATTAAACCAGAGAGGTCTTTGAATCTTAATTAAGTTTTATTGGGTTATTATTCAGTGTTGCTGTTTCTGCGATATTGGGCAGCAACAGCGCTATCTGTTCCGAGGTTGTAATCAACCACCTGGTAGGTTTATCTGCTCTGAAGAAAGACCACCCACACCCAGTACATTTTAGCTCTTACTTGCACCAGTGGGCACAACTGGGGTCAGGATTGTGGTGGTGTTATGGAAGTGGTGGGGTAAGAGACGAAGCACATGTGCTCACAGACTGGAATGTGATTTGCTTTATTGATCTCCACTAATGAAAAGTGAAAATAATGACCTGCATGGGAGGATGTAGTGAGGGAAATTAGAGAAAGAAAGAAGTCAAATTATGTGGTCCGAGGTTGCTCTCCCTTACAAATGACTTATTTGCTAATTACAAGGACCAAAACAGTCACCTAAATCCATGGGAGTAGAATACGCGGGGGAATACGCCCTTTTAATAATACGTAAATTCATCCCCACACCTTTTTCGGGCAAGTGTGTTCACGCAGAGCTTTTCAGGGGCCAGTGTGAAAAAAAATCAAAATTTAAATTCAAAGAGAAAAGATAGTCTATGCATGACCTGGCATTTTATTCGTATCCAAAATAAGAAGATGTGAACATTACGGAGTGCCAAACACTCTCGTGCAGTGTATGCTTCATTCATACTGGAAGCCAGAGAACGCTCTCGCACAGAAAGTCCAAAACAAACTCATAGAATAAATAAATTATGACGTGCAGGAAATCCCAAATATGGACAAAGGCATCCAGCTATCTCTGTAGCAAAGCTGAATACAAAACGTAAAGACAATACATGCACAATTGCGACAATAAATGGTCTGTGTGTGTTTTTCAAGTCGTTTCCAGGTAATACAAAGTATCTGAATAATGCAGTGCTAACTGACCTAGCATTTATTACAGTGGCCTATAGAAACTATAAAATATATTTTCTGTCTTATTCTGTGAAAAAAAAGAAAAAAGTGTAGAATATAAACAAACCATAAAACTGCCATTAGGAAAATATAGGAAAAATATTATTTAATTAATAATATAAGTTATAGGTAATTGTCCAGAAGTGTATTTGATTCCTTAGCCAATCAAAAGTAAGAGATAAAAAAAATGTCCTCCTTACTTCTGAAATGATCGCTACGCCCCTGCCTAAATCCCACTACTACCAGTATCAGAAGCAATTTATGACCAGAACATCATTCACCACTATCAGTTTCCAAATATGTGATTGGTGAAATAATTGGTGGAAATGAATTGAATGCGATGATGTATGGGCTGTTTTGTTTATCATGATTCTCTCCTGCTGTGCAGTCATTATTAATTGGGCCTTAATTACTACTGCTTTAGAACAGCCTCAATGGGCGCTGATAGCGCTAATTATCCACCACAAACTCGAAACCAAGAACCTCAAGTTCATCGCTGCTTAGGTTAATTTCCTGTCAAGTTTGGTCACCAAGGGGCTAGTGGCTTTGCGATGTTTTCGGCTATCCATTGGTTAATTCCATGGGGCTGGACAAGGATCACATCATAGTATATCATATTGTCTTGAGCTTTTGAGATAAAAAATAAATAAATAAATAAAAAATTGCTCTGCACTACTTCTGATGGACCCAAACATTAAAAATGAGCATCTGAAATTATAAGAAAATATTCATAAATATCTGAAATATGCCTGTTTTTGGTGCAAAACAAACCAACAAACAAACACAAAACTTGATTAATTAAGGAGCATGCATTCATCACACACATGGACAGCAGTTTTCCACCTCAAGCTTTTGGAGAGAATGGGTGGCCAGATCTTCTAACCTGTGCTTGTAATATATGCAAGCTCTGTAGCAGAGTGATCTCTTGGCTGTCTTTTACTATGTCAAGAAGCCTGGTCTGAGCCGTAGTGATGACAGGAATGGGAGTGTGACTCCCTGTCTCCCTAGGATTTCTTACCTGACAGCTGAAGTGGTCCCTCAGCCCCTCACTTCATGACTCAGCCTTCCCTCACATACGGACTGAAGGCTGAGGTTAGGGCAGGTGTACTCTCCATAGAGCACAGCATAGTCCAGATTGGCCAATCCCGCTAAAAGCTTTGATATCTGATCAAGCACTTGAAAGTGGGAAAAACCGAATCCCAAATCTCTGAATTGTCCTGAATACTACATTTCTGAACAACTTATAGTTGCTTGCCTGAAAATCTTGGGAAAAACTCTTGGGGAAGAAAACAAAATCCTTTCCTTCATCAAAGAGAAACCTGCATCATGTCCACTGTGACATAAAATGATAAAATCTGAATTTTGAACTCTACCTATGCAGAACTCATATGGGGTTTGGGATTATGTTTGACCTACTGAGGTCACCCATTCTGAATTAGTTATGAAGAAAAAGCAATTTTTTTAGCACTTGCCCTGAGGGCTAATTATATACCCCTCTAGAAGATAGCCATCCTTGTCTTCTCACGTGTCCCCTCAACATTAATCTCAGCCTGGGAGAAAATGGACTGCAGAGTAATGGAGGGAGAGAGCTTGAATCTGGCCTTATGAAACTAGCAAAAGGTTACTTACCGCCGCCATACTTCTGAAGCTTTTGAATGCATTTATTTCTCACCTTGGGGCTGAGAACTTCTATCTTTGAGTGTTTTTTTTTTTTTTTTTTTTTGCAAAGCCATTATCAATTTCTACCACCTCTACAAAGCTCTTATGCATTTGTCCTTATAGCAATTTACTTTTTCACCCCAACTCATCCCCACCCTTAAACTAAATGTTGCTCTTTCTATAGTTGTCTTGTTAATGGTTATCATTTCTCATTCCCTACAATAAAAAAGTAAATATGCACAGTATTCAGATGATCTTATAGTCTGTTATCTTATAAGGGCTGAAATTGCCCATTAGAAATATTTGCTTTTCAAGGGATTAAATCCTTGGATGTTGCAAGAGCTAAATCTACCCCACTCATTTATCATTCCCTTTTGCACAAATTAATAATTATGATTTTATAACTAATGGACGATCAAGTGTCCTTGAGGGAAAAATAAATAAGTGAAGAACTTGGAATCTGTATTACTTTGCATTTGGAAGTCTCAACGTCTTAGCCTATGATCTGATAAACAGCATGGAGAGTATTAACCTTTATTTGCAAATCATGAGATGCAACCGCTCGACATCTTTTCAAAAGCATTCCGCTTATAGTCTTATGAAGATAAACAAAGGTCATCATTTTGGATCCATTTCCACACAAGTACGATGCCCTGAACACCATCAAACTTCATATAATATATTTTTCCACAAGAGAGAATGTTTTTAAAGTCAACTAAATATGAATGAAATGCAAAACAAACACACCAAACCGAGAAATACATTTTTTTTGGCAAACATTCAGAGCTTTCCAAATCCCATAAACCCAGAGTCTGTTTTTGTGTGCATGTTTGTTGAAAGAGGATTCTTAATAAATCAAATATTAGAGACTAAATTGATTAAATAGCTGGTTTATGTACTATTATATTGCATTATGGTTGAACTATTGCACATGTAACTGTGCACAAAAATCAAGCAGATGTTATTTAAACGGACAATTAGCTTCCCTGGCAGATCCACCCTGATGGGCTGTGACCTCACACACATCTGCAAACACACTCCTGTGACCTGAATGACAGACGAGAATCTGTACAGATGTTCTGTTACTTACAAAAGTCAAGCTGTCCATGTTTTTTTTTGATGTAATTCACTTTGACATGTTGAGGGACACTTTTGGCTTTTTCAATTATTTGTTTACAACCAGTAGATCATACATCCAGGTTTGATCAGCACTGATTTTTTATTCAAAAATACATTTAAATGATAATTTATACCTATGCTGTTTTTAATTTCTGAATTAAAATGCATTATTATATTTTCTTGGAAGACAGTCAATATTTGGAAACTACTAATAAAATTAAATAAATAAACAAATGTAACTGTTTGAAAGAAAACAGTATTAAGTGGTTTAGCATAATGTTTTATTATTATTTTGTCACAAAAATGTATTTAAACAAAGCAGCACTACTTCTTAATATATGAAAAATATTTGTCTGTCAATTATAAGTCATGTAGTATAATCAAAATACAGAAACCAAATAAATAATTAATTAAATACATAAAATAGGACGTGATATCAGTAACCCATGCAGAACATTATGTCTGTCTGTAGTCTGAAATATGAGATAATGAAGTTCACTGACCTGTATGGTCTTCCTAGTGAGTCTGGTTGACCAAACAAATAGTTACTAGCCTTGTCCACATCAGCCTATTCCATGCACCTTATGGTGATGGGTCTTTTTACTGCTTCATTGTCATCTCCACACCACTATAAACACTTCCAGCCACCACCTATTCACAATCTGACCCCACAATGCCTCTTCAACTAGAGGACCTCAACCGTATCTCATAACTTCCTGTATTTTCCAACCTACTGCGTAGTCAGAGGCCATGACAATTCTCTCAGAAAACAAAATGAGTCTGCTTGTAGTGGTCACGCCAAAACCCAGCCCACGCTCACCGCCAGTGCCCCAGCACCTCTATTTCCTGCACTCTTTGATGCTTATTCAAAGGTAAATCTTATTTTCTTTCCATCACCTTTGGTTTCCCAACTGCTGGCTCCATTCTGCTATAACTCT